GTTGAAGGAAAGAGAGTTCCGGATCGAGAGTTGGGGTAGAGGGCGAGGCTGTCGGTTTAAGGGTTTCGAGCAAATAAGTTGACGTTGACCAGTCGGATCTACACTGATGTCAGCATGAATGACTTGAATCTAGGCAGGTGCGGGTAAAATGGTACCTTCGAATGGCTCTCCTGAGCTTAATGAGGCCAATGCAAAGTATCAAGAATTGGTAAAACTTGAGCGATTTGTACACCGAGGAATCCACAGCTTCTAGCATCATGATAGCCTCGCCGTAGCGGCCGCTCTGGCTTGTAACGAAAGCTCTGCGAGCGATCGCACGGAGACGTTCTTCAATCGGACAGGAATGTGAATAGCAATCGAGGAGAAGCTCGTAATGAATGTTGGCTAGATGTGGGATGCCAAGTCGCTGATAGAATGTCCCTGTGAGAAGCATTTGACTACCGTAACTGTTGACGTTTTCTTTGATGTTGAGATGTGAAGACTGATAAATATGTTCTAATGCCCGGGGAATAGAGTCGCCCTATGTGTGAGTTAGTCCTGGTAGTCTATCAACGCGATCATGAACTACGTACCGTCGCTAGAGAAAGCTTTGCCTCGTTGAGTAAACTTGCGCAGAGCAGGCTGTACATCTTGGTCTCCTTGGCTTTCGCTTTCAAAAAGGCCAACGCATCCCTCTCAGTTCCGAGCATGCTCATGTAACCGGCACCCCTCATCTGCTTGGGGTAGGCTTTCGCCATATGATTTAGCCAGCTGAGACTGAAGCTCAGACAAGTCATGTCCTGGTTCTCCCGGGCTGTGGCAATTGTCTCGTTGATAGCAGCTATCGCTTCGCCAAAGCAGCCGAAGTCGGCCTGAAGGATAGCCATATGCAGTAAAGCATACTGGTAATGGATCTTCTCGCGAGTCTGCATAGCGTAATCGTAGTAGCGATGTAGATTGTCAAAAGCAGATGTGTAGTCTCCGGCTTTCCAGGCATCGAAGAATTGTACGAGATGCGCTTGCCGATGTACAATGCCGGACGACTTGACCATATTGCGAAGTTGACTCTTCATATCGCCAGGAACACGGTCTCCGAGCCTCTGAAGCCTATCGAGTTGGAAGTCCAGGATTCGATCCAGATCGTTCAAACTCATGCCCGCTCCTTCCTCTTGATCTTCTTGTAGATTCCCGTACGCGATCTCGTACATGTCGTCGCCAGCTCTCAGACCCATCTCGGATACAACCATGTCTACACCACTTGATGCCAAGCCAGCCAATCTCTTTGTCCATTGAGCTGTTGGGGCTCTGTACCTGATAAATGAAGACCATAGTTTCATTGAATCGTCGAACTGCAGCCTCGTGAATTCCAGGTGCGCTCTACGAACAAAAGCTCCAAGTGGTGATGTCTTGGAAAGATGGATCCGATCTGGTGATTCTTGATCTTGTGTACCGTGTGGCGGAGGTGTAACCAAATCTAGGATACTGTCGAAGAGAGCGTGCAGCGCATCGAAAGAGTTCATTTCCCACATGTGTTTGAGGAAGAGATCGAGAAGAGTTCGGCCCGGCATGTTGGAGGGGTGTTCTTGAAGTACATCTTCAAAGGCATCGATTGAGAAACACGTGTCTTGTTGACTGGAGATGTTGGAGCGCTGTGGCCGAGCGCTGGACGGTGCCGAAGGAAGATTGTTTGACAAGATGAAGGAAAGTACGGGTATCGTAGCGGAATAGGGAAGACTTGAAGTGCAGTAGAGACGGGTCAAGACAAGAAGGCTGATCTTTTGCGCCGTGAGGTAGCGCGGTGTGGCCATGTTTGTTTGGCGGTTTAATGCTTGTAGCAGAACACAGCGCTGGGCGTTGACGGTGTCAGCGTTGGCGATTATCGCCAACAGAAAAACCTTTGTCGTGTGATTCCGCGCGATATGTGCATTGTATCCAGGTAAGGCGATTGCTGATTGTCAGGCAAGGCTGCGACGTCCAGGATGTGGTGTTTGTTGGAGGTCGTGGGAGGGAATGAACAACCGAGGCGGCGCGCAGCGCGTACAATACTTGTCGCGAAGTCATGCGCCCGAAAGACTGCCCAGGTGCCCCAATCACTACCCGATTGGTGCCTAGGTTACCAAGCCATCAATTTGCCGGCGATCTGGCGGTACAGACTTCATTTCACGACTGTATACAAGATTTCATAGTTTGATATGGATATGAACGTCTACATCTATGCAACTGTTTCCCGTGACGCATGGCCAAATCCTGAGTCTTTCCTCGCGACCTTCTTGAGATCGTTCGCACTTGACTGCAAACGCGGCACAGGAGCGCTGTTCAGAAATTCGTCCTCGTTTGTCGCATTTGTTGCCCAAATCTTGCTAATGCTCAGATCGTAGGGCCCCGGTATACGGTCTATCAAGGATATGCCCACCGTCCTCACCTTCTGTGTCAACATCTCCCTCTGTGGCTCTACGACCTGCCCATGGTTCGTCCGCACGAACTCGTTCCACCTGATTAAAATGGTTTCCCACTCGCCAGGTGTCTTGGAGTGCAGCAGGTGCTGGTGGATGTCTGTAGGAACAATCGACTCGGTCTGCACATTGACAAAGTACTTGCGGCCGTCCGACTTGAACTGGATTGCGAGGAAGTTGTACATGCTCACGTCCCACAGGGACTTGCCAAAGATGGTGGAGCCTCGATCAAGTGTCCTCCATCCGGCATAGCCCGTTCTTTGGATGTGTGGCTGGTTGTGTGGCAGTTGTGTGGATATGGTGCCATGGAAGCGGACGTGGGGGGGTTCCGTCTGGGAGACAGGATGGTGGTCGAAGTTGACGGTGGAGAAGCCGCCGATGTCTTTGTCGCTCATGCGCTTGCATCGTTCCAGATCCTCAGCGTGGTCGAAGTGCATAAGCGGAAAGGGCTTGGACGGGGAGCGCAGGCCCTCGAGCTTGAGTGCTGCGCGTGTCAGTGGCGGCGCATGCACACATGCAGCTGCAGAGCTCACCGAAGTTGGAGAGGCGCTTGAACTCGTCCAGACTCCGCTTGACGAAGCCAGGCGCGAGGCACGCCGATGTTGGTCGCATGGCTGCGTGGGGTGTGTGCTCTTCCCAGGGGCCTCGATGAGCTCACAACGCAATCCATGGCACTGGGGTGTGAATGACGCCGCGGTAGTCTCGCCAGCCGCTAGCCGCTTTGGATGACCATTCCAAAAATCTGGGGACCACTGCATGTGCAAACACATGCCACCACCCTCCACTGCCCGGCGCGACGACTTCCCCTCATGATACCACAGCAGCCGACGCCCCGAACCTCCGACCCTTGACTTTGCGTGCGCCTTCCTCAACCCACGCCGCCACCAATCGCCACGCGCCTCCCCTGCCTCGATGCCACTGCAAGAAGCACCCAGACCTCGAGGCCTCCGAGACGCCACAACCCAGCCGCTGCAACCACTGCCCCCTTCGTCGCGAGAGCTGGGAGAAGTCACCCCTCCAAAACAGCCAGATGGGACACCGGTAGCTAAACAAGATGTCAAGTCTGGAAAGTCGTGGGCGCATTTTGTCGCCGGAGGGTAAGACTACAGTTCACACTGGACCACGCCTTGAGGACTAACATTGTCACAGCCTGGGTGGCATGGCCTCAGCAACCTTGACAGCCCCGCTCGATGTCCTCAAGACTCGGCTGCAATCCACCTTCTACCAGCAGCATCTTGCCGCAATGCGCACCGCCCGCGGCCTGCCCCCCATCGAGACCATGTCCTTCGGCCGCAGCTCGCTACTGCACATACGGGAAACTGGAGAGATATTATGGCAGGTCCCAAAGGCAGAGGGGTGGCGAGCTCTCTTCAAAGGACTGGGACCAAATCTCATCGGAGTAGTCCCCGCACGCGCAATCAACTTCTTTGCATACGGAAACGGCAAGCGTCTGATCAGCACACATTTCAACAATGGTCAAGAGGCAGCATGGGTACATCTGTGTAGTGCAGCAGCGGCTGGTATCGTGACTGGGACCGCTACGAATCCCATCTGGCTGGTCAAGACACGACTGCAACTGGACAAAAACACACACTCGGATGGCCGCGGGCGGCAATACAAGAACGCATTCGACTGCACCATGCAGACCATACGGAAGGAGGGTGTCCGTGGCTTATATCGCGGATTGACTGCAAGCTACTTGGGCGTTACCGAGAGCACATTACAGTGGATGCTTTACGAGCAAATGAAGCTGTCATTAGCACGGAGAGAAGAGCGCGTCATTGCTAGTGGCAGACCGCCAACCGTGTGGGACCAGACTGTAGCATGGACTGGCAAGCTGACTGCCGCTGGATCTGCCAAATTTGTCGCAGCGCTCATCACATATCCCCATGAGGTTGTGCGAACGCGTCTGCGGCAAGCACCAATGGAAGATGGCCGACAGAAGTACACTGGCCTCGTTCAGTGTTTTCGACTAATATGGAAGGAAGAGGGTATGGCAGCACTCTACGGCGGTCTGGTTCCTCACATGTTCCGTGTGGTACCTAGTGCCGCCATCATGTTTGGAACATATGAAGGTGTGCTCAAGTTCCTCGGAGAGAGCAGTAACATGTGATTACCAACGCCGGTATAGAGGTGGTGTAAACATGTATAGGACTGGATGCATACAAACGGCGTTATGAAAAGTTGGGATTTTGCGACGCATACACGGCGTCTTGTATCACCACTCTGCTCCTGCCGAGCATGTACTTGTATTATGTTAGAAAGATGGAAGAATATATGACGACATGAGATTTGCGCATAAAGAACGGAATTCGGCTTCCACTCGACCAAGTGCACTTGAACAGTATTCCTGACCAGAAAACCATCTAGTACTCTCTGCATTGGTCCTTGTAATTTGTAACTTGCTTGTGAGTGTGCAAGTTCAGCAGGGCACGGTGCGACCCGACCAATCGCACATGTACCTCACTAGCGCGAACTTCGCGCCCGAACATTGATCGACTTTGACATATTAAGCATCCTCATCGCGAACGCCCAACGCTCGCCCCGAGCATAAGCCAGCCCCCCGCAATGTCCTCACAAATGCCACTCCGGAGCATACGGATACCGGCGCTGCAACGACAATGTCTCTTCCTCCGCCACCAAACCCTCCTGCACGCCGCCCAACCCACCATAACCCACCCATCCTCCCGCCGCGCCTTCTCCAGCACCCCGTCACACCCAGCAAAGCACAGACAACTCGGACAAGATAAAGCGCAAGCCATAGCTGCAGCCCGATCCCAAATTTCGCCCTCACCAAATGTCAACTTTGAGCAAGCGCAAACCAACACAGATGCCATGGCGGAGGACATTGGTCTGCTGCAAAATACTATCGTGAGGGCGCCATTCTTGGACGTGTACAATGAATCGCCCGGCCTCGGAGGGGTCCTGAGATATTACTGGGAGATTGTCAAGCAAAAGGCAACAGGTCTCTACTCGTAAGTTGGACTTTCTTCGGGTTAGGACCGGGCCTGGGACATGAGGGGAGAAGCAGAAGAAGAAGAAGGACAACACATCCGAAATTAAAGTTGAAAGCGTATAGGACTAACCTAAACCCTTAGACGATACTACTACCGCGATTGCATCCAGAAGTCCGGCTGGACAAAATATCTACCCGTCGACCTCTTCCATAACACACAATACAAAGTCCTAGCCAAGAGATACTACCAGCACATCTACAGAAGCTTCGCCTCGTACGTCTCTCCCGAAAATTCATATGACATACTTTGCAAACACACTAACACAAACCAACCAACAGAGGCAACGTAACGCCCCTCAAGCAAGTATGCCTACCACCCCTCGTAAAGAAACTTAAGCAACGAATCGCCGCCCGCGGCAAGACGACCCTGAAATGGAACCTGCACGAATTCAAATCCGCGCGCGTAATGAGCCACCGCGCGTCGCCCTTGGGCGAGCAGACACCAGACACAGCGTACAGACAAGTCGTTGTACGCCTCGTATCCGTTCAATCCGTCGAACGGTCTACGCCGACATCGCCCAAAATTTCCAAGTCTCCCATATCTGCTGCTCGGCTACCCTGGGTCCCAGATGCTGCGCGCCAACGAGCGGAAAAGGCACGTCAACAGAGGCAAAAATCCGAGGATGAAGTGGAGACGGAGAAGCCGGTCGCCAAGAGCGACGAGGCGTTTATCGATAATGGAGTTAAGAAGACTGTAGTCGAGTATCTGGTGTTGCAGAAGAGAGTCATCAAGGGTACGGAGGAGGACTGGAAGGTCTGGGGCTTCACCGAGGCGTCCACGCCGAGTGTGCTTGCGAGAGAAGAGCTGTATTGGTCGCAGATGCTGAACGTACAGGCTGGTGGTGCTGTATAGTGTTGGTAGCTCTGGGGATAGACACGTTGTAACAATATTTGTACATGTGATGGACATCATGAGGGCATGTAATTGTGCCTAGAAACTTCAGACGTAGCCATGTATGATCTGGAAACCCAGCTCTGAAGCTGCAGATATGCGCTCCACTCTGAACCGGACATCACGTGGAGCATGCTACATGAAAAAAGTCCACTGTGTAGAGGAAGGTGGTCATGTCATTTGAGCTCTTGCCAGTAGCAATAACGATAATCCAGGTACACGCATTCATTCGGCGCCCAGCATTCCACTGCCGCGCATGTGCTCGAACCAGCCTCGTACTCCGCCCCTCTCTTCATCCTGGTATAGAGGCGTATGACGCAAGCTTACAAAAAGCTGTGCCGCTTTAGCCGTGCCACGGACGAGGGCAGCTGGCATATCGAGGAGGCACAAGGTAGTAGTCATGGACGACTAGAAACCGTGGACCTGATTTCTGATTAGACTGTGACTCGATGCTAAATCGTGCCGGGCTGTGACTCACCTTGATCGTCTTCGCATCGAGACCAAGTCCCTCCTTCTTGTCGGTCAAGAAGTCCTGGACGTCTTTGCGCTGATCGCCCTGGAGTTGGACGACTTCGCCCATCTCGGCGTCGCTTACAATGGTGCCATTGCAGGCAAACTTCTTTTTGATCACCTTGAGGATCTTCTTCTGGTCAAATTTCTTGGGGAGACCTTGGACAGTCGTCAAGGTCTTGCGGCCATTGCGCTCTAATGTCGTGTTAGCCTGGTGCGGCTAAAGAATAGCGTATGGCAGATGCGGGCCGTTATGGGCAGGAGCGAGGTGTGCGAATGGGTTGGGTGCGTGGTGAGGTTTTTGCATCAGTGGGCAAGGGCGGTGAGGGACCTACGTTGGATACGAATATGAATGTAGTCCTGCTGAGTCTGCTTGACCTGGCCGGTATCTTCATCCGCTTCCGCGAACGGGTCTATGAATATCGTGTCAGTAGCTGCCTGGTATGCGCCTCGAGGGTCACGACTTACCGAAGGTCTTGAGGTTCTCGATGGACATACGACAGTCGGTGAGCGCGCGTGTAGGTGGGGGGTAGTTGGGTATGGATGCTTTGGGTAGCGGCGATTTCTTGGGTGGGCTGGGAGTGGAGTTGGGGTGGTTTTGGGGTGGTGACAAGTCGGGAGGGTGCAAGTGAGGGTTCCAAGGTTTGTAGCGTAGAGCAGGCTGAGAGAAAGAGGTGGGGAATGCGGCGGGAGAGGAAGGCGAGCCCCGCCGTGGTCTGTGCGCGCCAAAAGGGTGATGCTTGCCGTTCAGGGCTCGGTACCGGATGCGAGGCTGGAGGTGCGAATGAGACAAGACGAGGGTAGCATGGGACACATGGGGCGTGCAAGTGATATGGGTATTACGAGCGAGCTGACATGTATTGTCGCTTGCTCGGCGAGGACGTCGAATTATACAATTACACGGTACCGTTGCTACCTGAGTACCGGCTACGCACCAACCTCTCCTACGGCGGCCTACGACGGCGGCGCAGCAGCAAACGCCTCCGTGCCAGATGCTTGGCCCGGCCTGATAGGTGGTGGGGGGAGGAATATTGACGAGTAGGTCTGTGGTACAGCATCAACACGAGATCTGTCGGAGCCAGGGCCGAACTTACAACGAGGAGCGACATGGCTGTGATCTGGTTAGCTGTCTGAGCAAGCACAACGGGAATCGGCACATACCAGACATGCCAACCTGGAAGTAGGCGGGTGTAGTCGACGTCTTCTTCTGCTCGGGGGTCTCAGCAAGCCACGACTGGATAGCGAATACTACAGCAACCCTGCGTCGAGTCAATTAGGGAACGTGGCACAAGATGGGGAAGCCTACCAGCCGATCATCCTGTGCAGCACGCGTGATGTCAGTCATGGAGTTTTGCGCGCATCTGGGTGTTGCCTACTTGTTCCGCGTGAAGATCTGGGACACGATATCAGCCGTGCAACATGGGATTGGGAGAGCAGCACTTACAGCAGCCATGGGCAGTGTGCTCGAGAGCGTGCTCGACATGTCGTTGTCGTCCTTGGCCTTCTCTGGCTCGGCATAGGGCACGACTGCAGGAGGAGGTGGGTTAGACACGTGATCAATGGCGTTGGGATGGACGGGTCGAGCCGTGGAACCCCTATGAGGGCGCGGTGCGGCATCACGTACTCAGGTCGGCGCGGCGCATGTCTTTTCTGGAGGCCATCGTGGAGCTGGCGGTCAGGTGTCGGGCAGGTGTAGGCAGGTGTGTGGGCGGGTGGAGATGGGTGGTGGAGGATAGGGTGCAGCACTCGGACTGGGCGGCGTGAGCGGCGGCTGTGTGTCTTGCTGGGCCGGCATGGCGCTGGCCCCCGTCGTAGTGCGTCGTAGCGTGGATCCCTGCTCGCTCTATCGTATTACCGGGTGATCGACTCCGCTGTTCGCAATCCAAGATAACCTCAGACATCACGTCAACCGTCGCTCCCTCGACACGCCTCGCTCTGTCCATCAGCCCCATCCGAGCCGCACCGCCGTCCCTCCTTTGCTGCCCGCGTGTGAGGCTCGCACATGCCGCCGCCCCATCGACGCGGTTCCTGACCTCGCAGCCCTCGTCGCTCGCTCCCTTGGCCCACCCACTGCATGCGCCTGATACAACGATGAAGCCGCTGTGTGTGCGATGACTTCTCGACCTGGCCCGGGGATTCACGAATCTCTACAGACTCGTGGCAGCGCCCTGCCTCCTCGGTCCCAGGTGCAGCGCCGGCCCTCGAAGCCCGCCCACACCCTCCTTCAGCCGGACTGCATCGACCCGGCCCTAGAGGACGACCGTCCACCGGCACACACTGCCCTCCACGATGCCGCGAGGCCGCCCCCGCGAGGACGCCCGCCGCTCTTCTACACCACCATCCCGACCCACGGCACCGAGCTGCCCCTGCACTCCTTTCCCTACCAGCCGGCCGCCAACCTGCCCCAGCCCCCACGCCCGGGCTCCCTGCACCTGAGAGACGCTTCGCACCAGCGTCGCATACTGCCCGGCGGCACCGGAGTCAAAGACGCGCCCAAACCCGGTGGGCCCGAAGTCGTCGTTCCACCCGTCCATTTTCCCGGTGGGAAGGCTGCCGATCTGTTTCCATGGACCGGCAACAACCCCGAGGACAACCTGTCCGAGGCGCTAGTCAAGGCAGGCGTCAGCAACAAGCCCCAGATCATGAACGAGTCCAATACCGCACGCCCCTCGCTCATCAACAACCTCAAGAACAAGTCGGGCCTCAGCACCCTGTCGACCCTGTTCGTCGCCGTGCTGGAGAAGCGACAGCAGACGGGCCGCCTCCAAACCCCAAACACCTTCAAGCCCCCGCCGCGATTGACCCTGCGAGACTCGACCCGCGAGCAGTGGCTGCACGACTTGGCCAACCCAACCATTGGCCTTCGCCGCCTCAGCCGCACCATACCGCACGGCCTCACTGGCAAAGTGCTGCTCGAACAATGTCTGAACAAGCACATTCCTCTGCCGAGAGCCCTGTGGCTGGCCAAATGCGTAGGTATCAACGAGCTGCGTGCGCATAAAAGAAAGGGCCAGGCCGGTACCGTGACATGGGGCAGAGGCTGGACCAGTTCGGTCGAGCAATTCATAGACGGCGTCATCAGTACCATTGGCCAGGGTGATTGGAAACCCCGCATCACCTACGCCCTCCAGCTTGCGACCCATCTCTACAAAGAGCATCTGCTCGACGACGACCACTTTCTCGACTGGATAGTCAATGGCTTGGATACCTGTCCCTCGGAACGCCTATTTATCTGGCTGCTGGTCGTTTCCATATCACACTACTGGACCGCTGTAACCTGCTGTCGACGCCGCGGCAAACGTCTCGCCGAGTCATTGCTCACCCAGCTCGACAAAATCTATCGACTTGAGGATCTGCGACCTTATATCGCCGTTTTGCAATACCTTGAAAACACCATTGTCCGCTTGCTCGCCACACGACCTGCTTGCCTGCTGCTTCCGACTGCGTGGGCCAGATATTGTCCCCTCTTGCGGAATCTCGCTGAAAGGAAGAATCATGCACATGTCATGCAAGCGATCCGGAGGCTCGAGCTGAGGAACGCTAGGCTCCTGCGATCGCCGAAGAAAGTTCCTTCGGCCTCACAGACACCGGCTGGCCGCGTCTATCGGGTACTGGACTCGGTAGACTACAGCAAGCCAGTGCGTATTGAGGACTTGTCCTGTGACTGCATGGAGATAATCGCCGACGCTCCACGCTTGATCGGTGTTCTCCTCCAGTGGGCATGTACTTATTACCGAGCAGGAGCACACAGGATCTATCTGGCGACGCGATTACTTCGTCGATGGAACCACCTCGGCGCGGACGTATATGACGGCATAGTTTCACACCTCCGCGACATGACGTGGGTTGCTACCGGCGATTCAAATATACTCTTCAAAATCGTTGCTGAACTGGTCCGTTCAAAGACTTTCGCTACTGGGCGCTACCTTCAGTGGCTTATTGCTACGGGATCTACAGGTCACAATACAGATCTGTCTTCAGTAAGTCATGCCCCACAAGTTCCATCTGTTGGTTCTAACTATTCGATAGCCGCAGTCCTGGCCGTTGCGTTTGATCACCGAGATACCCCTCAGTGGGCTACCGGACCAAATCCGTACATTGCGGAGCACACTCCTCCGTGGAACCTTACACTCCGCCGAATTGGAACAACGAGCTCTTGGCTACGCTGAGCACATGATATCTCAGACCTTACCTACCTTGTTTGGCATCTACAGTACCACAAATAAGCTCAACGACGAAGAGCTAGACAAGCTCAGTTCGACGATCAAGCTCGAACTGGGCATTTGGTTGCGTCAACACGTCGCTCAGTATGCCGAGGTTAGCGCGCAGTAAGTATTCTCGTAAATTAACCATGACTTCGCTTACATTATACAGCATACCCACGAAGGACTCCTCAGTCGAAGAAACCGCCGCGGTCTCTCTTCTAACGCCCTGGGACTTTCACACTGTAAGATCGTACCTTGAGCGATTCGGAGACCTTGCTATCCTTGCGGACATTGTCGGCGTCGCAACTACATCCTTGGACTCCAGTGTTCTTGCTTCTGCTGCGGACACGATCAACTACCACGCCAGAACCTTTCGTGCAATAGGTGCCTTTGACCCACTGTTTGCTAGAATTGCCACAAGATATGCCGCTCTACGAACTGTCCGACTCCCGGATCGCGAATTACTGCTTAGTCTTGCCAGTCTAGCTCGTACAGCACAAGCTGATGGCCAACTCCCCCAGCTCCTCAACTATGATTTGAGCCAACTGAACCAAAGGAACTCTCTTGTAGCCTGTTCACCAGCCTCCGACAACATGGGTGAGGTCATGCAAACAGGATCGTCTTCCAATGACGAGATTGAACGCATACTTTCGAGTGGTACCAGCATGGATCAACAGATGATGGGACGAGTACTGAGGAAGATCGTCAGCAACCTAGAGGAACATCTAGCCAAGGGCTCTTTCCACTTGAACAATCACCATGCATGGTTCCATCGGCTGCGCTGCTTCGATGAGCCGACCTTCGACATGGTCGTGAATGAATGGCTGCTTCTGAGCTTGATGGCTCAAAGGACTGATACCCTACGGGTAGCCTTGCCTACACTTGTTGGTTCAGGCTGTATTCCTTTGGCGTCCTTCCTTGATTCACTCAGAACTTGCATCGCAAAATTCAAGACCAATCCTTCTGAAGGTGGCCTCCAAACTGCTCTCAAAGGCATGATGATCACTCTGCCGTCTGACGCTCTAGTTCAGTCTTGTTCGCCGCAAGATGCATATCGATACCGCTTGGAGCAACGAAAGCTCTGCTTGGAAACCGAAGGGTGCTTTACGCAATGTGTTAGTGAGGTGATTGGGCTTGCTTCAACCATTACTTCTCAGAAGGCTCAGGGACAAGTCTCAGAGTTCCTACGCAGTAAGCCCATGCTGCATGTTCTGAAACATCGCATTGCCGGCGATCCAGGATGCTTGTCAAAGTTGAACAGGGATGCCTCGAGTCATTTGCTCAAGCCGTCGTTGGACAGCCTACTTGACCCCAAAGGTCACTTACGGTTGCCCGACAAGAGCCCCGAACAGCAGGTACTTGCAGTTTTTGCACTTACTAGCGAGTTGTCTTTACCAATCTGCCAAGCGACTATCGAGCAGCTGTTCTCATCTAGTGCAACCGCGCTGGGAGGCTCCGGTGAGGTACTTTCTGCTTCCCTCTTGAGTGCCATCAAGACAGCAGTGGAAGAGGATCAACCTTCAGGACTAGGGCTACTTGCGAGCTTGGACGCTGCTCTCACCGACCAAATACGACAGCACGCTGAACGCGAGATCTTGAATGCCTCTAGCTTTTTGTGTATGACATCCACCGTCAAAGTAGAGGAACCAGAGAAGGTCTCGCCCGCAGTAGTACAAAAATATCTCACTGTCATCGATCTGACTTCCAACAAGCGCGCGACATCTACGGAACAGATTGCGCTTCTCCAAGCCTTGGTCGAGAGGTTCAAAGGCATAAGTCAAGCTCTTGAAGACAACAGACTCTCTGTTCTAGAGATTTATGTTTGGTTGAACGCCCTACTTCGTCTGGTAGTATCTCATGCACCGGACATGTTGGCCGAGGCTACACATCCACATCAGACCGCTTTGATGAGTGCCATGGCTGCCTTGCTCATGCATCCGTCTTTGGAACTATATCCTACGAT